GATTTTCGATATTAACGAGACCCGATACGCGATAAACTAAATAGTATCGGGCGCCCGGTGGTCTCCGGGGAGAACACCGCGAGTGCAGGGCACTCGAGATCTTAGAAATTCTGAGGAAAACGCGGGAAAGCTCGGCACAACGAAAGGGAAAAGGAAACAGGTAAGGCGATACCGCCAAGAGAAGAGAGGTGGAACAATAGGAACAGCGACTCCGCCAAGAAGAAAAGAGACAGATACGTAAACGGCGACTCCGCCAAGATAGAAATGAGAAAGATCGAGAAACGGCGACTCCGCCAAGATAGAAGAGAGAAAGATTAATAAACGTCGACGCCGCCGAAATATAAAGAGAAAAGATAATAAACGGCGACTCCGCCAAGAACGTAAAAGCACAAAGTCACAAACGGCGACACCGCCAAATAGGGAAAACAAACGAGACACGAAAACAGCGACACCGCCAAGATAAGAGAGGGAAGCGCGAAGAAAAGTAGAAACAAAAGCGAAAGAGAGAGAATCAAGCGGTCGACGAGAACTCCAAAAGTATACCCGGTTCAGAGGCTAGCTCACCTGGGAGAGCGTCGTGGCGTTCAAGAGGCATGCGATAAAGAGAATAGGTAAAAGAAAGATAGCATAGAAAAATAAGTAGGTTTAACGCACCGAAGCTATATTAGCAAAACCAGAAAGCGGCATGCAAGCCATACAGCAAACTACAGCGTGTTCAAAGCAGAAAAGATACAATCAATTTTGAAGCGATACGGAAAACGGGTTGATAGAGTTCTATATAAAAAAGCGAGAGTCACTAAGGTGCGAAAGCGAAACAAGATAACATAATCCTTAGAGTAATTTTACAAAGTGATAGGCTCTTGAGGGATTCTATATAAACTAAAATTCTTAAAACGAACGCGGAATTAGCGAGGGACTACGGCCCTGTGGCGATACGATATGGCAGCGGGACGGATCCGCGCCGGCGCAAAAGATACTTTCGACAATATTTCAATAGATAGGAGACTACGAAATACGCGCGAGAACAAAGGCTTAAATTCGTATCGGTACGAAAACACGGTAACAAATTCACTCGCGAAATTTCCCGACAATTGAAAAGAGTCAGAACACGCACGATAGAAATATGGCGATTAGGACACAGGTATAAAATACACTTAAATAAATTAACATAGATGGTACAAGTAATAGACAATAGTTAAAAGAAATGGCAAGCTCTCGAAAAATTACCACCAGAATAGTGTAATCGGCAAAAATAAATTAATAGGTACGCCACTGATAGTCAGTGCGTCCTGTATTTTCGACTCGGGCGATTACTCAAAAAAAAAAGGTGACTCTATGCTCGACCAGCAGCGTAAGGTATCGAAAATATTACACTAAGACAGTGATTACGAATTTCCAGAAATTGAAATATTAATTAAATAAAGAGGAGGATGCCATTCCTATTAACGAAAGCGAAAAATACGTGAACAATATAAGGCAAAGAAAAGAATTAATTAAAGTCAAAATTCAATATAATAAAGCGACATATAACGCCGGAAAAGATAGAAAAGCCAAAAAGATATTCACTTAGAACAACTAGACAGACTCAACGGGAAACGGCCAAGCCAGAGACGCCGGGGCCCTAGGTATTTCCACGTGGTCGAGAAGATAGTCGGTAACTTATAAAATATTCGACAATTCCAAAGCACTAAATTATAGCAGAACGCAATTAATTACAATATATTCGATATACTAGGTACTCTACGATAATAAAAGAAAAGTGAAATAAGTCCCGGTAAGCGAGAAAATTTGCCGTCGAGACAAAGCGCCTAGACGGGATTAATTCAGATGAGTTTACGGAATCTCCAAAATAAAGGTAACGAAAGGTGCTCACGAAATCGGTAAGATATAGAATCGAGGAAATCGGTCCTCAGAAGTCCTTCCTTCCTTCAATATAATGTCTGTTCTAATTAATATCGGTTGGTTTTTGGTTTCGCTTCGCAATTTCAATCAGTCGAATTCGGCTCGTCTTTGTTCACTTTAACAATTGTTACAATCAACCATTGGCTAAGATGCTCCAAACGTAAGTTAACGAGCCGGAATTCGTCGCTAGAGGAAGAGCCCTAGGGGCCCCCCTCCATAAATTAATAATTCCTAATTCGCACGGTAGAGCGATAGCAAAATATAATAATACAGAATAGGTAAATCTAACGCTTGACGGTAGCCAGAGACGAAGCGTTAGGCGGCTAGAGTCCGAAGATAGGCGGAGAGGGCCGAGCTGAGCGCGGGAACCCTTGGTGCGGCCGATCTTGAGTCCTCGGTTCGCGCAGCAGGATCCAGCGAAGAGTAGGCCCTGGTTTTTTCTCCGGGGCCACTGATAAAAGAAGCGCTAGGGAACGTTCGGCGACTGGGCGGCACGATAGAGGATTATCCTTTCCTCCTATCGGCGGTACGAGTGACGAAGGCCCTTTTTTGCGGTCCGTATGGGCAGCCAGCAGAAGTATTAGAGGGATTCCATCCCGGGTCTCCCTGACTCCACGGAAGTCCTCCGGAACGAACAGCAGTTTGGTCCAGCCTCTGTCGATCGCTCGTCCGGTAGCTCAGGAACTCTCGTTGGCGGTTAGCTTCATGCTCGTGGTGTAGACGTAGATTCGCCCAGGACGGTAAAGAAGGTAGGCGAGTGCGAATAGCAAAGCTCGAAAATAAAAAATAAAAACGAAAAAAGCAGAAAGGCGGGACAGAAATAAGCAGAAAGGACGATAGGCGGGAACAGAGTGCATAAACGATAAGCGAGACAAGCAGAGCCGTCTTTGGAATGTCAAGTGACAGACGTTTGGAGGATCGTTGCAGGTGGATTGTGTCTTTTCCCTACTCCTAGCAATCTTTGTGACTGAATTTCCGAAATTCACGTCACAGCTATTACCATCAATTTCAAAAGAAAACTCACTTGATACACAAAGATCTTGGCTTTCCTCAATTTCAATCTGTTCACATGACAAAGAATTCTTTAAATTCCCATGGTAAAATACATTCTTCTTCAGTTCTTCATTCTTCTTCACGTTCTTCAGACAGATCGCACGATTCATGTAGATTTGCGTTTGTTTCTGAATTTTGAAACATTGTATCATCAGACCTTGCTAAATTTTTAATTGTAGACATATATTTATTACCGTCAAAACCAGACTTCTTTAGGGGACTTTCGTAACGAGCTAATTCAGATGTAATCATGCGTTGCTTATGGCTTCTAGAAAATAAATGAACGTCTTTGGGCATTTTAAAAAAAATACACTTACTACAGATAAGTATTCGTATAAAGGATTCAACAAAACTTCTACAACACGTGGTTAGGTGTAACCACGTATACTTTTGTTTTATCCAAAAGTTAAATTATGTTCCAAATGATTAAATTTATATAATCATTTAAATAAGTGTAATGTAAAGCTTACGTAATTAATATATTATAAATGTAGGTACTCTCCTATTAATTTTGTGGAAGACGAAATCCTCACAATTGCTTACGACTGCTTACGACAAAAGAGTGAAGAAAGATCAAGTTCGTTTCCCGCTAACGTACTGCTCAGTGGTGATTGGCTGAAATTTTTTAGAATTGCTATTAGTAGTTATACACCACTTCTGGCCGTAACAACAAACCCCCACCACTGTCCCCTGTGAGTCATGGAGCGCGCACCGCTCTGACCCCCGTAACGCACTATGGCGTCACCCCCTCGCTAATGTGGTCGGCACTCCCCACCGCCAACCTATGTTGTTGCTCCCCAACCATGCAGACCATTTTACCCGTGGTAGAATAGAACACCGTATTTTGTAAGACACATTATGTATATTATAAAGCTGTAGCGTGTGATACATTTTCGATTATTACCGTATTGTTGACGCGAATCTGCTTTAAGTCGTAAAAACGTATCCTGATTAATTGGTAAGGCCTGGTCCCCGATTCTGCCCGTTTCCCAAGCCGCGTAACTTTAAGAATGTTATGCTCAAGACATTCTCCGAACAATGATGTAATCAGGGTTCAGATCGCCTCTGAAGAATGTCTTTATCTCGGCGAAGTGAAAATCCCTGCAGGTGTATGGCGGCGTCGAATAACAACGTACAGAGGAATACGCTTAATGCTTTATAAATTATTGAGAAAATATGAGGAGATGGAGGTGCAGGAAACAAAGAAAAACAGTTTTTTTAAATAAAAATATATTATATACATTTTGCAAGAAACATAAAGCGTACAGTTTTATTAAGAAAATAAGCCTTATGGATGGCTGTTCTGGTCCTCCATGGTGCTCCGCACGAAGGAAAGGTACTCGTGGTTATACAGGGCTCTAACAATAATTGATTAAGCGCCGGTGACCACAGGCCTTTCTTCTCCAGAACCAACCGAAGATCGCCCAATATGCTGTCCCTGGAGGAGGCGTCATCTCCGCGACGGTCGAGTTCCGCAATCAGCGTGTCTTTACAGTTGTTGGCACTGTCGGTAAACTCGTGTAGCCTGGTTATTTGAAAGGTTACGCAGCGCAGGACCCTCTGAAGATTGAGGTAGGACACCCTCTTCATCAGAACCGTAGGTGTGTATGCCCTAGCTCTTTTAACACCTGAGCCATCGTTGTCCGTAGACACCGGCATTGCCGGTTTGACAATAATTGCCCGCTCACCGTATGTCCGACGATAGTAGTCCCAAATGCCGCATCGCGTATCGGCGTCCTATGGCCAAATCAGAGCTAGCGATGTTGAGGAAAAGGTGGGGCAGGCCCACACAGGAAGAACTACCGCGTCATGCACCTATGCGTCTGGAGTCGCAGGCCTGGTTAGCGGCATTCAATCATCTCGAGAGATTACGCGAAAGTTGCGTCACACTGTGGTGCCTGAGGGCTATGCGAGCATAGGAGATAGCGCTACGTACTCTGGAGAAACGATGCAGTTTGACAGAGTTTATGGGATGTGTTACCCTGACGACACGGGATGGTCCATCGCTCCTAAACTACAAGGAATGCTGAACAAGCGTGGTCAGCATGTCTGACGGTCTTTACGCGTACCTGGAGGCACTCGACGATACGTGGGAAACCAATACACCCCACGACGTTTACAACGATGAGGAGAGGGAACTCGCTGAAGGATCGAACAATTTGACGTACTACGCAATGGACACACGAACAGCATCCCGACGCAACATACGGCATATACGATGTATGGCAATTTTTCGCGACGAGACCTGCGAAACACTGCTGCGGGATCACCGTGGCGGAAAAGATATCGGAGTACAGCTTATCAGTTGTGATATCGACGAGTTCGATGTTGTAAAAGACTGATGTGATCTTCTGGTACCAGTCTATTGTAATTGATAAATATAAATAAAGTAAAAAAATACCTATGTACACAGAGTAGTATGATTCGTATCTCTAACCCAGGTATGCGTTAAACAGCATCGGAAACAAAAGGGAAAAAATGCGATCTTCTTCATAATTTTTTTACAGATGAGATCATGGCAATAGCATCGGCCGGTAGCGATCACAGTGACTATGGCAATGGTGATGATGACTGCTCCACCATGTCCAGCGCTTCTATCGAGCACTATCAATGTAATAATTATAAATTTACAGACACCGTTGAAAACTCATCTGTGTGAAAATAAAAAGTAAAAAAAGTTGTAGATCCGTTGGAGGCTGCTGGCTACAATGACCACATTGCACCGGGTAACTCACGGCCTCGCAGGAGCACGACGACGCGGAAGAACCGGTGCTGTGTGGAGGCTGCTAGCTACAATGACCACATTGCACCGAAGAACTCACGGCCTTCGCAGGAGCACGACGACGCGGAAGAACCGGTGCTGTGTGTTCTTTGGAACGGCGTGTACGAGTCAGTGGATGTTGACGAAGCGGCCGATGCATTAGCGGAGCGCGATGAGCCCCCGAGCGCCGCGGATACCCTCGAAGAAGGTAACGTAGAAAGAGATATTCTTTAACATTTAAAGTCTTCTTTGTCGAAATTGCTAACTTTAAAAATGTAGGGGATGATCAAAACCTGTTAGACGCTGTATTCTCATACATCGGGTCGATGTTTAATCCTCGTGAGGAATGAGAAGTCAGTATGAACTGAATACTCTTTCTTTTTTTGTTTAATAACAAAAAAAAATAAAAAACTCTTCTTCCAAACGCTAGATGCGGGGGATGCGGACACGCAGTATCAGACTGGCGGGGGACCCCTTCTTCGGTCGCAGAGTTGTGCCGTCGAAGACACCGACAACGAGGGAGTCATCGATAACGACGTGTTACCACCAGGATATAGGTTTACCGTAGAAGCCGAAACGACGCGTCGCATAAATCGGTTTCGATTAGACAGACGCGAAATAACAATGGCTATCCGGCGGCCACCCCAAGATCCTGATACGAATACCGTATCTTGGCTGCAGGGCGCAGTCCTAATTATTTTCATATGCCGCTGAGTGCACTACCGAAAGCCTTCGGCCTCGCGGATGCGGTTGGTTTGAAACAAAAGGGTGTCTTCCCGCATCTGTTCAATACACCTGAGAATCAACATTATATCGGCCCGCTACTAGCACTCGAGTTTTATTCGCCCGATACGATGTCGTCGGCTCAGCGTAATCAGTTTTTAGCATGGTATAACGAGCAGTGCTCTGCGGATACGTATTTAACTTTCGAACCAAGTTTATAGATTACTGTAGATTAAACGTTACTATTCTCAGGCAGGCTTGCGTTTCTTTCCGCGAAATGTTTCTTCAGCATGGCAACGTTTGCCCTTTCTCGGAGAGTACCACTATAGCTTCCGTGTGTTCGAGAGTTTTTCGGAAAAACTTTTTGCGGGACGAGCAGATAGCTATTTTACTGCCGGGTGGGTATCGATACGGTGACAAACAATCACTTAAGGCCATCTTATGGCTTCTTTCGCTGGAGCATCGATTTGGTTGTGCCATAGTTCACGCAGTGCGCACTCGGGAGTATCGTCTACCGGAGGGTACGCCCGTCGACAGTTACTACCTGGACACCGACACAGGTTTGCGACACGTATTCCAGTTTCAGGGTTGTTTCTGGCACGGTTGCCCAAAATGCTATCGTATAAACAGAGATAGTCGTCTACACACGAGTGGATCCATGGACGCGCGCATCGAGAGAACGCAGGCTACGAATGATAAGATTCGGTATTTAGGTTACGAGCTGACGGAAATTTGGGAGTGTGAATTCGACCGCCGGATAAACGATTCTGAACAGACCGCTTTATACAGATCGCTGAATGAGAACCCGCTGGTATCGCAGGCATCGCTCGAACCCCGCGATGCTTTCTTCGGTGGTCGTACAGGAAATACTGTCAGTTTTTATGAAGTCGAGGGGTCTGAGAGGATACACTACGTAGTTGTGTGTTCGCTCTACCCCTTAATTTGGAAAACGGGGAAATTCCCTGTAGGTCACCCTACGGTGTACGTGGGCGATGACTGTCGCGAACTAACAGGTGATCGCAACAATATCGAAAATGTGGAGGGCTTGATTAAATGTGTGGTGTTACCACCGCGAGATCTGTATCATCCCGTGTTACC